AGATGGTGAAACCGAATGAGACGAGAGTTGCTGAAGTTGTGAAAGCTGAGGATGACTCGGCTACGAGTCACGAAGTGCCGTTGAATAGTGAAGGGGCGCTAGAAGACGTGGTGAACGCAGGAAGTGTAGTAGGAGAAGGAGAAACGAATGGGCAGTTGGAGGAGATGGTGAAACCGAATGAGACGAGAGTTGCTGAAGTTGTGAAAGCTGAGGATGACTCTACTAAAGGGAACAAATTCTTAAAGAACAGTAGATATGAATTGGAAGTTCATATACATAACCAAGATATAGGAACACATACGAAACCTCCGGAATCTCTGATCCTGTACTCAGACACAACCTCTTTAAGTGCAATAGCAGAGGATCGTTTCTTTGCAGAACAGGAATCATTAAAGACGTCTTCACCCATTCAAGAGGACCTACAAACCAACATTAATCCGGCTAAGAACAAGGTTCTAAAGGTATTTGAAACTTCTACGACGGAATTCACGAAAACTGACATCGCCTACACTGATACGTCTGCTGCCACAGTGCCAGAACTTGTCATTACAGAGCCTCCAACAGAAGTATATACAAAACCGCATCTAGTTGCCAATGCGGAGTACTACGATCTCGTCAAGCCCAATCCCGAGACCCCAAGGAAGCGGCCCCATGAGTACTGGTGGGGATGGTACGTCAACTTTTTAATCCATTTTTCTGTCTTCTAAAAGAGCCTCATTTTATCAGTTTATATACCCACTTATCTTATTCCACTTCTATATAAAACATTCTAGATTTTGACCTAATGGCTTCCAGAGTGACCTCTATCTTGGCTCCCTCGATTGCACTACTTTTCTTCTACCGACGTGAGGCCAAATTTGGTGCCACTAACAGTTTGTCTTCTCGTCTGTACTTGTTACTCATCCCACAGATACTTCTATCATTTGACCTCCACGAAACGACATTTACTTCATCATTCTTGCCGGTAATAAGGATAATCAACTGAGATTTTTAAATAAAAATCCTTTGCTGTCACGTTCTGTCTCCCCTTCAGTGGGTTTGCTATCACAGGATGATGACCGCCTCACGGTACCAAATAGCAAAGTCAATGCCGTCCACCTACATCTCTACACGATGTGTCATCATCTGCTTCAGACAAGTCGAGCAAACCTGAACAAAAGCACTGATTATGAATGCAGATATTTTGGGCTCGAGTCGAGGTTGCTATTTCCAAGTCCATCCAATCTGGAAATATGGTTGTGAAGTAGGTGATGGGTTTCAATTGAAAGAAGATGTGGGTAGCTGTGGGTGGGAGAAGCCAATCTCC